GCTTTCACCAGGAGAGAGAGTCGGTGTGGGGGCTAAGAGAATTGTCCAGTCTTCTGCTCAGGTCTTAGTCAAGACATTTTGGTCTGGGCACTGCAGTAGTCCAGTTTGGGGAGTCTCAGCTTCTCCTCAGGGAGATATTTGTATACCTTATTGTATTGAGAAGAAATATCTAGCAGCCCTGTTCAGCAAACCTGCTACCCGATGCATAGTTTTGTAACCCTGTTGCCACATAGAGCTAAGATTTTTTTTTAAGGAGGGGAGGTAGATGCAAGCAGAACAAGGATTTGTGCAGTGTAAATTTTATTGGCAGACACCTTAGTTTGGTGGCTCTCTCTGCATCCATTCTGCTGTAACACCCCACCCAGATAATACTCTTCTGCAAAAGCTGCATTCCATTTCTGTTTTGGCTGCCAGCACTTTCTGAAACATCCATCGCTGAGCCAGGGTTCAATTGTTCGGCTGCTTCTTTTGCAGCCATAGCAAAGGCTATGTTTTGGGGAAACTGCCCATCTTTGTCAATTGCCGGCTTCAGCAGAGACTCAAAAGGGGCAGTAGATAAGATTTTTTGTATTTTAACAGGCGATAAGTAAAAATTGCAAGTGGCTAACAGTTTTAAGTCTGTTGCACTGAAAATGATGCAAAATTGCCTCATTTCACGGTGCCTTGTTGAGCATCTTCTTGTCTTGTTACTGTGGTCTAACCTCTGGAACTAGGCAGAGATTTGCTATGTTGTCTAGTTTTCTTGGGTATAATGGTGACAAAATCCCCCTCCAAAACAGCCATTACAAAGATCACTTCTAATCGTTTTAAATGGATACCTTGGCTTATTTCTCATCGGTGTTCTCTGATCCAGTGTTGCTTCAATGCCGCTGCTTGGCAGTTCTGGTGGGTCAGAGTGCTGGGTTTCTACATCACCCCATCCCTAACTCTCTAGATGAAAGGTGATCTTGCTTTCTCTGCTGGGTTCTTTGCTGTTTTCCCCCAAAGGCCCTGGCACTTTGCACTATTCCTAGCCACCTTTTGTCCAACATACCTGCCTTTCTTAACTTCCTCTCAGGGTCCCCTGAATTTCCTTTGTGTGCCTCCTGACTAATCTCTGTGTGCTGAGTTCTCCTCTGTCTGATGCCAGAAAGATAGGTGGTAGTATCATGGCTGCAAGAAAGCTTAATCCTTTCTTTCTCTCAAAATGTCCAGCTGTCTCCAGGCTGCAGTGCCAGTTGTCCATAGTTGGTGAAATTTAACTCTTCAGTTTTGGATAGCTCACCCATGTGGGTCCAAAGTTTTGTTTCTGTCTATGTGGTGGACTGCTCACCCTCCTGTTTTCAGAGGCGTGTCTCTGGGTTGACAAGACAGTTACAAGTTGCAGAAGCATCTTTAGTCGTTGCTCCATCTGAGGCTCATGGAGACCTGAGAGGGCCAGCTGCTTAGAGCAATAAGCTATTTCTCTCATGTGACACTACAGAAAGTCATTTTGCCCAGTTCTAGCAATTGCAGGGGAGGCCTCCCAATGCGCAATACCGTGGGACTGGCATCTCCCTGGTTGTCCTGCCGCCTACGAGCCCTAGGAACAATTAATCTCTGTCAGGGCATTTGCCAGATGCCCTTTCCTCTTGGGAGTTTTTCCTCGCCTTGCCAGTTGCTTCTGTTGCCCCTTTCTCCAAGGGTACCTTAGCCTTAAAGGAGAGCTCCTTGAAGGGCTTATGAAAGGAGGACGCCTTTTGCTAGCAATCAGGATGGGGCCAGGGCAGGCCCAAAAGAAACTGAGGGTCCCTCTTTCTCCCTGGGACCCTTTTCACAGACAGCACCTTAGCTGGTGAGGACTGGATGCCACGTGCCACCAGAGTTGTACATGTTGCAGCCCTACAACAAATCATTATTTTTACTCTCTAGCCAGCTATATTCTGGCTAAAGCCTTAGGACTAGCCAAGCTCCCAACTGCTTTTCTCCTCCCTGATCTTTAATGCCACATTACAGTCTGAGGAGGATAATCTATTTTATTGTGCTTTTTTGTATCTGTTTTAAATAAATCCATGTGTACTGTATATTTGTATTTGGGGTGAGATCCTTTTTCCTGTTTTACGATTTAATATTGCTGTAAACAGAGATTGTATTTTTATTGTTATGCTCTTACAAATACTGCAATTAACTTGTTGACTATGTAGATGCCATACACACATCCCCACACATATATATGCACGTGCACGCACACGCGCGCACACACATACACACACACACATAATTATATGCTAATAGTTTTTCTTTTGCTATATATATCGGTTTATCTTTTGGATCAAATTTTCCCCAGAAGGTAAGGACTGGAAAGCCAACTATAACTCAGCATCATTTTGACAATTTAATGTGACCGTTAGCAATATTCATGGTAGATTCGTGAATGGAGAGTGGGGTGCTGCTGCACAGGGACAGATCATGAAGAACTCTCCTTCCCCAATTTTGTATTTTCTCCTATGTTGGTAGTACAGCTGGTCTCCAAATGTGACATATGGATGCCAAAGACATTCACTGGTTATTGCTGTCTTCTGACTATACATTCCATGCTCAGGGTGAAGGAGGGAAGACTAATGCTGACATGGTCAAGATGGACAGAAACAGCTCATAAAAACCTATGCAGTTCTCTGAGCTTATTTTTCTGTTAGCACAGAGCAGGTAATATCTTAGATTGACAGCACTTAGGATGGCCCCCAAACAACTGAGTTTTTAAACAACAACATTCTTAAAAGCTTGCATATTTGTGTGACAGTCTAATAAAGACATTGCTGTAAGATGGATTTTGGGATTTTTCTTATGGCCGGCATGGTTCACTGTTTTAAAAGACTATCAGAGATTCAAGTTGATTCATGCAGTTGTTTTTGGATTTTTTAGACAGTAACGTCAAAGCATTTAGGGTTCAAAAGAAAAACTGAGGATAAAAGGCTTAAATCCCAGTTTGTGAACTGAAACATGCTAGATTGACTATGTTTTCATATTTTAAAGAGTATTATATGTTTAATCTTGACATACCCACCATTTTCAAGGAGAACATCAGAAATTGCTTTGAAGACCTCATTGACTGGAAGCCAGAAGAACCGTGCAATGAAATCAAAGAAGTTGTTAAGGATTAATGTGAAAAAAGACTGCCAAAGATCAAGAAACAGAAGAAACTAAACTGGATGTCAGAAAAGACAGCGGAAATTGCCAAGAGAATCCGAACCTGAGAGATGTCAGGAAAAAAATAAAGAATTTCAGAGAGTTGTTAGAAGAGGTAAGTAGTATTACAACATCTGTAAAGACATTGAAGATGAAAACAATGGAAAGATAAGGAATGTTTTCCAAAAGATCTCTGACCTCAAAGTTTCAACCTCAAATTGGTATGCTAAAGATCCAATTGACCAACAGTAATGATTCAAAGAATATCAAAGGTGGAAGAAGTGTGTGAAATTCTGTACAGTAAGGATATTAACACCCAAGAAACCTTAGAAGATATTCTCTATTTACAAGAACTTCTAGTACTAGAATTACTGATTAAGTTAAATTAGCACCCTGATCATTACCAAGTCAGAAACAATTAGTAACATTCCAGCAAATTTGGAGAATAACACAGTGAACAACAGATTGGATGAGATCAGTCTATATACCAATACCAAAGACAGTTAATAGACCATGCAAGCTATCACACAGTATCTTTAATTTCACATTTAGCAAAATCATTCTTAGGATTATCCAACACAGATTAGAGCCCTAAATGGAAAGAGAAATGCCAGATATTCAAGCTTACATTAGAAAAGGCAGAGGAACAAGAGACGTTATTGCTGACGCACACTGGATACTTGAGAAAATAAAGAATACCAAAAAGAAATCAATGT